AATCCGTGAGGCCTTTGCTTTCAGCAAGACCGTGCTGGATCTGCAATGCAGAGTTTGCATCCAGGTAGCTCCTTCCCCATGCTCTGAGGTGGTTCAGATCTAGGGTTTTGGGGTAGCCTAAGCCAGAGGTAAATGCCACCCTCCCAACATAGAGCTTCTCCCCATATAAGGGGGTTTTGGAGCCCAGATTTGGGTTTTGGACCACTAGAGAGAAACACCAGTCAGCTACAAGGTCTAGAGCTGGTGTCCCGTGCTGCCGTTTAGATACACCCCCCTCCTCTGGATCCATGCGTGGGGAAGTAGGAGATTTCCCAGGCTTGAAGGACTCTCCTGAAGCTAGGAAGATGCCTCCTGGGTGACTTCTCTCTCTGTACAGGGGCACAGCCAGGGCAACACTTCCAGCCCCTTCAGGCCCTGAGAGTTTCAGACAATCCTGGACATATCACAAAGGGGTCCTGGTAACATCTAGAAAGGCTTCTGGCCATCCAACAAGGGTTTCTCAGAGGCACTTGGCTGTCTGACTCTGATGGTTTTGATTTCCAGCTCTCAATTGTTGCTGGATGCTGTTAAACCACTGCCTTGTTCCACCCCAGACATGGCTGCATTTGCATAGTGTGAAGAGGTCACCCCTCTGCTCCGTCTATCAGGCACTCAGGGTGGAAAGGGTTATGGAGACAGTACAGGGGTGCCTGACCCACAAGGGGCTGAGGACCTCCACCCCAGACAACAGCCTCTGTTGGCATTCGGCTGCTGGATCCCACCGCACACACCAACTCCGCTCCTTCCCTCCTCCGTCAGCTGCCGTAGCTGATGGTTCATGCACCTCCGCCCCGTAATACAGCGGTCAGGCCGTCAGGAAGGCTGAAGGATGATGCCTGGCGATGTGTGAATTTCTTTCCAGGAAGTTTGACAGTCTAAGGGGCAGAGGGGCTGGCAGGGAGCTAAAGGGAACGAAAGCCCCTGTCAGTCTCAATCCTCACTGCTGACTGCAGCCTGGGACTGATCTCTGTCAGCTCTTCACTCACAGGCACCCCCTTGCACTGCTATAGTTTAGCAGATCACTTCACACTCTCTCAGCCCCTTACCTCTAATGCACCGCCTTTGCCCAGCATTTAAAGGTAGCCCTAAAAATCAGCCTGAGTAAAAATCGGTCTTTCCCCTGCTCTTCTCTGGCAGGTTTGGAAAAGATCAGTTATTGCAGACCTGAAAGGACTATGCTAACTCGCCCACTCTCAGGGCACCTGCCCCTCCTTATTTCACAGCTGCTAAGAAAATTAGAGATTTCCCACCAGAAAACACTGATTTGATTTCAAACCGAAGCAGAGCTGAAGGTTTGCGAGGGGCTTGGAAGGCCCTGATTCTGCCTCTTTTCTCTTTCTTTTTATTTAAAATCTCTTTTATTCTGTAAAGCCTGCAGGGAAATCATAGCCAAGCAGACAGATCCCAACTGAAAGGTCCCCGGCAGTGTTGCATCATGGGGGGATTCTCAGTGTCGGGGTTTTGTTCTGGTTTGGGACGGAAATGAAGTGTTGTGAAATGGAAACTTCTGCTCCCCCCCAGTATTTGTCACTGCTCGTCAGTACCTATTGCAGATGTCACATATTGCACGTTCGCAGCATGCACATGGAGAGCTAATGCAAAAGCAGCTGTGGCTTCACCCCCTTGCTGACCATGCATGACGTTTGCCGTGCAAACAAGCCCAATGGGAGCACCCGGAGAGCAAGGAGCTGTACGTTGCACAAGTCCTGGACCCAAGCTCCAGGCAGGTTGTACTCTTGCAAGCTGGTGTGGTGAAGGGAACTTCCCTCCTACGACCAAGTCGAGCGAGGACACTGTCTTGGGTCTCTGGAGGAGTTATCTGAGGATGGCCATGAATTGTCTCCTCCAATGCAGCAAAGGGGCCTGATCCCTGTGCGCTAATCCCGGAGAAGGACCACATACAACCCTGGCCTCTCCATAGCACTGCTGCATCCCTGAGGACTTTAGTGCATCTAGCAAACGACAGCAGATAAAGAGAGCAGGCGGGCCATGATTTCCGCCACCGTGCGCTGGCTCTGCTGTGATGCTGGCCATCGGGGAACACGAGTAACTGTTTTACCCTTCCTTGTTTTGCAGCTGCTGGCTGTCATTGGAAGGAGGCCTGCTCTATGCCTTCGTGGGACCGGCAGCTGCAGTTGTTTTGGTATTTGATCTCCCTTGGGAGTGTTATTTTTCACCTCTTCTAGCCATGCCAGGGCTCTCCCTCCTCTTCCCCACCCCTCAATCCTTCCCCACAACCCTGATGGGACAAGGGGGAAGGAGCAGAGGGCAGAAACGTGCTCAGTGGGCTGGCACCAAAAACCTGCACTTGGCTGCCACGGTGGCTGAGTGCTCAGGAGCAGTGTTTGTCTCAGAGTGGTAACGGGTCATTTCTAATCAGGCTCATAGAAAATGAGGGTGGAAGGGACCTCGGGAGGTCACATCTAGTCCAACCCCCTGCTCCAGGCAGGACCAGCCCCAACTACATCATCCCAGACGAGGCTTTATCTACCTGCATCTTAAAAACCTCCAAGGATGGAGATCCCACCACCTCTCTGGCTAACCTGTCTCGGTGCTTCACCACCTTCCTAGTGAGAGAGTTTTTCCTAATATCCAACCTCAACTTCCCTTGCTCAAGCTTGCACCCATTGCTCCTTGTCCTGTCATCTGCCCCCACTGAGATCAGCCCAGCTCCATCCTCTTTGCAGCCCCCCTGCAGGGAGGTAAAGGCTGCTATTCAATTCCCCTCGGTCTTCTCTTTTCCAGACTCAATCATCCCAGTTCCCTCAATAATCCTTGCTCTATAACCCAGCCATATCTAAAGACATGGCCACATTGGGATCAAGCCACCCTATTAACCCAAACTGGATGGACTCGCAAAACTATGGTGGAAAATCCTGACGCTAGCTCCCATCACCAGCCTGTAGCAGACCGTGCCTGCCCTATGCAGTCAGCATGCCACCCTGGACCCCCTCCTATATTTCAAGTTTGCATGGGAGATTTATTTTCCAGAGGATAAATGAAGCTCTTCAAATCAGGGACCAGGCAAGGCTGAAGGGCTCGTGCGTGACTCAGTAGGCAAATCCTCTTTGTCTTCAGGCTCAATCTAGACAGCATCACTCGTCCAGCCAAATATGAGGTTGGAGTTGGAGGAGGTGGGGAAGACCCAGCTGGAGAGCATCCCATCAAAAAGGGTTGGACCTAGGTGCCCTGCTTATAAAGGCAGACACGGTTCTTTGGGTAAATCAGTTATCTTTTATTAGACCAGCTTATAAAGAGGCACATTTCATGGTTATTTGCCCATACTGGATGCCGCGTCAAGCTAAGGGGCCGCAGGTTGGAAAGCACCACGTTCCCTGGACAGTCTCAAAGGGGATAGGGTGCAAGCACTCATCCCATCTTCCCGAATCAAGCTTTTGGTGCATTCACTGCCTTCACCCTACAATGACAGGAGCACGAGGAAATAATGCGACAAAGTGCCGGCGATGCAAAATGTCACGCTGAGACCAGCCGGGGCCCTGTGGTGACAGGTCCTGCTCTGCAAACACCTCGATCCAAGAGCACGCTCCTTCGTGTGAGCAGCACGGTGTGGACTGCAAGCAGAAGGGAGTGTTATGCCAACATACACGCTAGCCACGTTGTCCTTCCTCCGTGCTCTCAGGCTTGGTTGGGTTTGAGTCAGTCATTTTGCAAGGCAGGACCGGTGTTATTAGAGGGAAAATGATTGCCGGAGCCAGAAAGAACCAGTAATAGCATTGCCCGGTTTGCGTGCCAGTCTGCTGCCCTTGGTGAATATTTGTCAATAGTAGAGAACTGTGGCTTGAAGGTCGGAGGATGCTACCCAGCTAATAGGGTCGTAATAGGCAGCTGTGGTTGGTAGGAAGTGACCTCTGGGAGTGTCCAGGGAAAATGGAGCTATTTACAGTCCTTGGGCCAGTCTGCTTTTGTGCGAGAGCGAGTGAAATGCAAAGGAGGAAGAGAGCTTAACTCTGCAGCTTTCCTCCAAGAAGGTTTCCATTCCCCCGCTACACAGAAGCAGAATCCCTTTTTCCTGGGATGGCCTCTACCCTCCGCCATCTCCAGTCCTACCCCATCCAAAAAGGGAACATCCTTTTTTATTTTTTTTAAATAGTGTTATTCAATAGCAGAGTAGCAGGAATTTGAAAGAGCGAGGACTGTAAATCCAGCCTCCTCCTGGTCCCTACCTATGGAGCGATGCTCTTGTCGGGGCTAGCCGGCCCCATGCGATTCAGCGTGGGAGTCCGGCTTCTCCCACCAACACCAGGGGTTTGCTTTTCCAAGACTCGCCGTATTTGTCTTCTAGTTTCTGAGCCCTGCAGTTCACATTTTTTTTTTTTTAGCTTTTCTCTGAACCTCCCTCTTTGTGCTAGTGAAGGCTGAAATGCTCATGGGACCCCTAAAATGCAGATGTAGGAAAAGGCTCTTTGAGTAGATGTGATATCTTTTCTTAGAACAACTGAATAGTTGGAATAAAGTTTCGGGTGCAATCACCCTTCTCCAACATGGCCACAACCAAAAAGCCAGCAGATTTAGGACACACATTCAGTACCACGAGCATCACAAGTTATCCCCTGGCTGGACACATCTTGCATGATGTCATGCTTCCTTCCCCCTCTTTTTTTCTCATGTTCAGCATCCTGCAGGCTGTTTGCTTCTCTCCTCCTTAGCATTTCTATTAGGGTCATACCAGGGGATCCCAAGGTCCTGGCATACTAGGAATTACACAGTACTATGCAATCTGTGCCCTGAAGAGCTTGTTTTCAGATGCAGGCCAAGAAATGGTGGCAGCATCCCTGTCTCCATCAATGGGGAATGAAGACACAGCGGTATTAAGTACCCTGACCAAGAGCACCGCAGAAGTCAGTGTCAGAGATTGAACCCGCGTCTCCTGAGTCTCAGCCCAAAACGCCACACTCCCTCCCTGTCAGTCTCTGGTTGGACTTTGTATGTGGCCTTGGAAATGGCTGTTATTCCTAAAACCATCTTCCCACCTCAAGCATGACGTACATCTCTCATTTGACCTCAGAGGATCCTCAAACTCCATCCCCCCACCTTACAAAGATGCATCCGTCTGGTGAGGCTGCTCAGCTCCATCCACCTGATTTCAGGTGAAGATGACTGATGATATTTCTTGGCACTCAGGGCAGGTTTGTGGCAGCAGGTTTCTATGCGTGTTAGAAAAGGAGCAGCCAAGGACCCCTTAGGAGCATGATACATTCAGCTCTTTGCTTGTCTGAAATATCCTCTATTTAATGAAACAATTACTGGCTACACTCAGGCACATGCATATTTTCCAAGAGGAATGATTAGAAATGATTTCCCAGGAGATCATTGGCCTCTGGTTGCTACTATTTCCACTGGCATCCAGGGGCATTTCCTTGCTGTGCTGCTGAGCATATGAAGTACCTGCAAGAATACAGCGTGGACCGCACCAGATGTGTCCATAAATGCACTAGGCCATTAGTGCCTATTAACATCTGAGGTCCACGCAGTAAGACCCACCTGTTAAATATTTCTGGTGCATTTGAAGTAGCTCCCTTCTGGCTTCACGTACAAGCAATGATCAGGAAGACCCGTCCAGGGAATGCAAGCGTAGTCTTTCTCGGCACGCAGCCGGCAATCAAACTCCTGCAGACCTCTCTGGCTCTCCTCCTCAGGCTGTTTCTCGAATCAGTAATTTCTTGTGGTTTAGGATATTATTAACCACTTTGGGATGCTACTCAGGCACTTAGCTGCTGATCTAAAAAAATAAGTAGCCTGATAGAAGAAGAGGTCAGACTCTGCAGCTTCTAGACCAGTGCTGGTTTAGCTTTACCAGGCTCAGGCTTCTCTCATTATTCAGATCAGGTGGAAACATGGCCAAAAAAAAATATATATATATATATATATATATATATATACATATATATATATATCTCTACCCCAAATGCTGTTTTCTTAGCAAAATTTGATCGTAGAGCTCCATTGTGTTCGAGTGTCTCAGGGGACTTCACACTCATACCAGCACTGAGATTTCCCCGGCCTTTCAGTCGTTTCCAAGGTTGGGACAATATAAATCTGATTCTCTGCTTCCTGGGACTTGGTGTGGGCATTTACAGCTGTGTCATGTAAATCCTCACCTGGTGCCGTGTGTTAGGTTTGGGGCCCACACTTGATGGAGGATGTAGGCAGGTTGGAAAGAGTCCAGTGCAGGGCAGCAGAAATGATCAGGAGCCTGAGAAATAAGACTAGCGAGGAAAGGTTGAAAAGACCTGGAAGGATGGAGTCTAGAGAAGAGGACAATGAGGGGAGATTTGCTAATGAACTTGAAAAGTGTTTATAGAAAGCAAAGAGCTGGACTTTTTTCTGTGGCCACAGAGTGCAGGATAGAAATAATGGGTTTTTTTAATTGCAGAAGGGGAACTTTAGGTTGGATTGCAGTGTGGTTAAGACATGGAAACAGGTTACCCAGAGAGGCTGTAGATTTTTCCTCCCTTGGAAATTTGCAAGAGCAGGTTAGACAGCCCCGTGCCTGGGATGGTTTAGACAGACGCGATCCTCCCTTGAGCGGGGTTGGACGAGGCGATCTCCCCTTCCTGCCCTGCTTTGCAGCAGCACTTGGCCTTCAGCTTTGCACGGAAGTAAAGGATAGCACAAAATCCAGGAAATTAGGTCCCCTCTTCATCTCTTTGCATGAGACCCCTTAAGGACTTCCTCTCAAGCTGTAAGCTGTAGCACCCTAGCATGATGCACTCATGGCTGCTTGTGAATAACTGTCTAACTTTCCCCTGGAAACCCCTCAAATATCCACTGCAACGGGTGTGGAAATAACCCAGAGCTGGGCCTGGGTCTGAGCATGACCAACGCCTGTTGGCTTCAGCAGAGGCTGTGGATTTGCAATCCCTGTCAGGGGTACAAGATACCCCTGCTCCATTCACTTGGGAGCATCCCAGTGCCTGGAGCGCCTCCGGTAAGCTCGATATTACTCCTTCAGAGGCCAGTCCGCCAGGTGCAGAGAGCTTTTGAGTCTCAGAAAGCCTTACCGAGAGAGGCTGAGACCAGGGAGCATGCGTCGCCCCCCATCCCTTGCAATGCTGCGCCTCCGGACTCTGCCAGGCCAAGTCCTTTAGTCTCCCACTCCTTGTCAGTGCCCTCCTAAACACCCTTTGCACCTCTCCTCTGGATTTGGCCCTAACACATCACAAGCCCCCGGCTGGGTTTCACAAGATAGGCTTATGCTGAGTTGTGCAGGAGTGTTACGATGCTGGGAGCTTATTTGGGAGCGTGTCACTTTTTTCCACCATGGGCTCTGCGTCCCCTCCCGTCCCCTTTCTACCTGGGCTGGTGACCCGCTGCCAGGGGCACGTCCGCTTCTCCTGTAGGGGCAGCCGCAGTGGGGAGTCGAGCTGTGCAAACCTGTTTTGGGACTTCATGCCTCTGGGCCAGATTCGAATAAAACCTGTGCTTTCCCCGTGAACACTTAAAGCCTGATCCTAGTCATATCCTGCCATATTAAATCAGGCTTTTTTTAAGTGGTTCAAAGGGCTCTGTGGGAACAGACAACCCTGCATGCACCCCTGGTGTATGCCTACCTACAGACGTAGCCAGTGTTGATCTGTCCTGATGCCCCAAGGCCTCATGGGCATTGCAAAGGAAAACCACACAGCATCCCATAGCCTTGTCTTGCTACTTCTGCAGCTGATCCTTTCACCAGTGCTGGAAAGTATTTGAAAACCAGCCTGCATCCCCTCACCCCGCATCATCTTTGCCTATTGGCATTCCCCAGAACTGCCTCAAGAAACTGTTTCTGTGCCCGCTGTCTGCTTTTCTAGACACCAAGCATTCATCATGCAAAACACATCAGGCTTCAAACGCTCCTCCAGCACTCTCACCCTGAATCCCGATGACAGCTCAGATCCCTTGCAGACCTCACTACATTTAAACTCCCGGGGCCCCTGAATCAATTTGGGGGTGGTGGGATGGGGAGAGGCGCTGCTGGAAGGGGACGTCCCTGCTGGAAGACGCTCACGTCCCAAAACGACGTGACATTTTGGTGGGGTGCCACCTGATTTGATCCACGTAAACACAAACCTGTCTGTTGTTTCTCTTCCAACAGGTGAACATGGTTATTGGCATTCTGGTTTTTAACAAACTTGTATCCAAAGATGGGATAACAGATAAGAAACTGAAGGAACGGGCAGGGTATGCCTTATCAATACATCTACGCAAAGAATGAAACTAAAAGTCGTGATCAATAACCAGGCAGGGACTGGAGAGGAGACCGGTTGGGCAAGGAAGTTGTGTTGTCCTCTGCTGCGTGAGCAAAACCCACGGGAAGCAGCACTGCAGGCTCATGCACGGGAGTCAGGAGTCCAGCTCTTTGCTAAGACAGCTTCAGCCCAGGCTGATATGTCCCAGCAAACCCCTTTCTTAATGCTAATATTCAGTGACAACAGGTGGATCGGAGAGGTGGTTTGGCATAGGGTAGAGCTGAGCACAAGATAGGGAGATGCATGTAGGGACGGGGTCTTGTATAAAGACTAAAAGGAGCATCCTGGAGGGGAAGTGCTGCTGAAAGGAGTGGGGCTCGAGGGCAGTTGGGCATTGTAGAAATAGTTTTGTTTGGCCTTGCGAGTGCACACGTGTGTACAGGGGAGCGGGCAGATGGCTGGCAGGAGTTACTGATGGACAGAGCCTGCACCTTTCTGGGTTATTCACTCTGTAGTCCCCTATTGCCTGGTGAGCCTGGGCTAGCTGGACCTGTGGTCTGGCCCAGTATGGCATTTCTCACCTTCTTATGAGGTCTGGATTTGCTTTAACCGGCAGCCTGATTTCCTCTGCGATACAAAACACAGAGCAGATTGCACAGCCCCTTCTCACCCGATCCTACACAGTGATCACAAGGGCGAAAGCTGGACATTGCACGATGCAAAGCGACGGCTTTGTGAACCAACCCCTGGTTCGGCTGGATCGCGGGTGTGCAAGGTGAAATCAGGATCAGATCTGCAGCCAGGAGGGCCTAATTCAGTCACCAAGGTACCTCTGATCCTGCTCCTACTGTCACATCCAGGCAGTCTGTCCCCTTCCCTTCCAGGAAGAAAGAGCCCAGGCTGTAAATTGAAAGGCAGTGATAGTGTCACAACAGCTTGATATAGGGTGGACAAGAGCTTTGGTGCTAAATATTATGCATTCAAACTGCTTCTTTGAAGGGGAAGGTGGATTTACAGTGGCTGGATGGAAAAGGAACAGGATATATTGTATTTCTAGCTGCGGGAAGTCAGCTCGGTGCTGTGCTATTCGCTCCATTTTAGAGATGGGCAAAACAAGAGTCCACCAGGGATGTGACTTTGCTGGGATCCACTGTGGTTTTGTGGATTAGACTCGATGGTAAGTGTCAAGAGCTTTTAATCCCAGCGCTTCTAGGGCTCGGGGATGCCCAACCCTGCGAGAAACTAGAGGTCAGAAAGTGATGGATGTGAAAGGGTGCTGCTGCTGCATGGCCTCTGATGTTGGGTTGAGGCTCTGCAGGCCTCAAAGTGGCAGTTCTTTGCAGATGAAGATCCCTGGAAACAGGAAAGCAGATAGTGGGTGGTGTGAGCAAAAGGGCATTTCCCTGGAGTTGGCTGTAGGCTACATGACAGTGGCCATAGAGGCATATTGCAAAGATTTCCTTTTCACAGCATGGGCATGGATAGGCTCTTCCTTGCTCCTTAGGATGTCTTGCCATGTGGGTGGCACGGCTGTGGTAAAGAAAGTAGGGTCAGGGTCAACTTCTGCGCCCGTGTCCTCTGCAGAGTAATTCCCCTGGAGAGGATCGGTGAGGGGATTACTCTTGGTTGATATTGGGGTAGAATTTGTCTTCTCATCCTCTGCAGGACATGAGGTGATGCTGTTAAAAAGAAATGGCTTTTTTCAAGCGGAGGTAACTAGGCAGCCACCTTGGGTGGCTTAAACCCAGTACATCCCTATCTTTGCAGGACTCAATGATCCTCGAGGTCCCTTCCGGCCCCGTCATTCTGGGGTTGTGAGTGGAGCTGGTCATTAGTGAAGCCTCACCTCCCTGGAAACAGGACTTAGACAATGGTCCTCCCACTTTGACATTGGCAGAAGCTTTGACTTTGATCAGGGATAGTGCTGAGAAGAGAGGCTTGAGCACAGACAAGGGGGCATCCAGTGACCCCCGTGTCCTGGAAGCGAATTCCTTGAGGCCGGGACTCACTGCCGTTCTCCCAAGATACTTTTATTTTGAGCAATGCTGATTTGCAAATGCAGGGCATAAATCAGTCATTGTTTTGGCCTCAGTGGATTTGCACAGCTGTGGAAAACCACTGGGAGCCACAGAAAAACCAGGCTGAGATGATCAGGAAAGACTGCCAGGCCACCTTCCCATCTTGCTGCTCAAAAGGAGGAATACATGCTGGAGTGACTTTCCGTTGCATGGCCACACGCTGCTGCTGACAAGAAAGCATATTTTATCCTGGGTGAACACCAGATGCCTTTACAAAGAGAGAACTAAAGAAAATACTTTAACCGTGGACCGAGTCTGAAGCAACGTAATTAGGCTTGAAAGTGCGTATTGCAAAAAAAAAAAAAGAAAAAAAAAAAGAAGCTATTGATTGTATTAGCAGAGCAGGGACTTATTGCCTCTCTTTCTGAGCTAAAACACAAGAAAGGTCTTTATTTAAAAGATGGCAGCTGGTTATTGATCACTGTGAATGTTATACTTTGAAAACAAAACCTACAAAGCAAAAAAAAAAAGACCCTGTTTGTTTTTCCTGATGTTCTTTGTTTTTTTCTTTCTCGTCTCCCTCTCTCGTTTCTGTGTGTGTGTGCAGTAATGTTCGACAGTCTCTGTGTTTAATGATTTTTCCAATGTTGTTCCCCGTTTGAAATGTGCCCACTGAGAATGCTGAAATGCCTTGGAGAGCCACGGAGCATCGCCCGGCTGTTTCTGGGTTGGGATCGGGAGCCGTGTTGGAAGGTAGTTTTGGCCACCTCATATCTGACAATCCAGATAAAGAACTGAACTGGAGAGATTTGGATTGAGGGACAAGACAGGAGCTGCTTTAATGGGTGTATCCTGTTTCTGCTTTCATGGAGGCAAGAAGTATGGCTTGTTGTAGGGGGCATGCTACACAACACGAAGATAACTCAACAAATGGCCTAACTCTGTCCAGTTGTCACGGTCAAGTCAGCATGAGCTATGTAAAATGGCATCTGAGATGCAGCAGGTTTATCCTTGTGCTCAGGCTGGGAAATAATGGTGATTACTCGGTCATGCCTGTCAACAAATCGTGGCTTTGCAATAGTAACCACCTTACACACGTAACAGAAGACCGAGCACGTAGCTCCGCGAAGAATCAACACACACCGCTGGCCTGAACACAACACCTCGACGCACCGTACACAAGCGCTCGGGGAAGCGATGCTATTACCCCCGCTCCGCATCGCAAACCAGTTCCCCTTGGCCAACTTGACTCTTGGCGTGGTCAGCGGTGGCCGGCATCCAGCGCTCCGGTTTTATTGCCACGGCTGCTGCCCAAAGGAACAGTTAATGCCGTGTGCACAAGCCTTTGCTGAATGTCTCGTGCAGGTATTAATTCCAGAAGTGCTCGTCTGCCCGCTCAGTCAGGGAAGAGGAATGAAACCACCTGACTTGTTTGCCCAGGCTCAACACGTCTTGAATTGTGAATATCTGCAGGGAGTGCCCAGAGGAGACAAAGAGTGGAAAAAAGCCTTGAGTTCATTCAAACTGGGACGGCTCCTGATGCCTTTGCACCAAGGCATGCCTCACCTCAGCAGTCAGGGAGGCTACTTATCGCATAAGGTGCTATTCAGTAATGCTATCACAATCCGGTTCCCAGAGAGTACCTTGCCATGTAGGACTTGGCCCCTCCAGCCCAGGGAGCACCTGCCCAGTTTTTCCCAATTATTGAGTTGCACCCCCAGGATCTCCAGGGCATGTCTGTGTAAGCAGAGGAAGTTGGGGGTGGGCAGCATCCGTGGGTGAGACGACAGCTGACACATGTTTTCTCCCGATAAGACAGATGAGCTGGGCCAGGACATATCCTACATCTGTGTTCAGCCAGCGTGATCCGTGGTCATTGATGACACCCTCCTTAATTTGGTTTCCTATTGACCTCCTCGTTAAGACTGGCTTCTATATGCTTTACAGTTTCAATGTGGGATGAACACAGCGGACCTCTGCAAGAGAGGCTGGGAGAAGAAATCACCTCTGCAAGGTACACCTGGGGCCAAATTCATCCCTGGTGTAACTACATCCATCCCAATTTTTTTTATCCCAGCAATGAATTTGGACCACGGTCTCTGAGAGAAGCGTATTTATGTGTTCACACAGGAGCTAATTTTCTCCCTCTTTCAAGGCTGCTGTGAGTTGCTGTGGGAGACTTGAGCAACCAGCCTTTATTTCTTATAGAAGTAATGGCTTGTGTTACCCTACCTGATTTAAAGACCATTCAATAGACACTTAAAGCAAGCCTATGTCACCCTTAGGTGCACTGTAAATGCTGTGCTGGTTTTCACAGCGATGTACTTTGTTGTATTGGAGTCATAAAAGTTAGGGAAAGACCTGCCATCTAGTCCTTCTCCCAGGCAAGGTAGGGTTGTAAACACTGCACTTGGTATCTTCTGAGACTCGCCAACCATGCCGACTGGGAGTAGCAGCCGTGCCCTTCTAGCCAGTGGCATTGACATCTTCTCTGGAGTTAGGTGACTTTACTGGCTACATGATATTCAGTTGTTATGCCTCCACTGTGCCCTCGAAGGCCTATCTTCCAGGGTAGGGCCATCATGAAAGCAGAGGGATCACTCTTCATGAACAAATCCCAAAGTTGATCTCTAAAAGAGGATTTCCACCACTTGGGTGCCAGGAAGCCTCTCTGGTGTGTTTCCTAGCCCTGAATCAGCCAACCATTTGAACACAGACTTAACTTTCAGCATCCTACCTGTGGTCCAGAGGGAACCAAATCAACATGGACAGGCGTTTAAATTTAAAACCGCATCGCTGCTTTGCTGAGTTGTGTGCTAGGCCACTAACAATTTTGTTTGACCTTGCTACAAGGCCATTTGACCTTGGAGACAATGTGCCAGCATCATCAGATGCAATAGTGCAACCTAACCTACCAGCCCTACTTCTTGGCTTCCAGCTACCCTGCCCTTGAGCTTGTCCCAGAAGCAAAATCAATCCAAAACGACTGGGGAGAGGAAGAACGATGTTTCCAATCACATAAAATACCCAAGAAGGCCAAGGCCTCCAAGCAGCATCAGGAGTAAGGGGTCCTCTCCCACAGAGGCATCACAGTCGCAGTACCTTTTCCAACACGGCTCCACCCGCGCCAATGGCACCAGCGCAGCTCTTGACCACCCTGATTTTGGCTTCCTGCATCTGGAATGACACAGCCGAGAGTTTTAATTTCCTTCCCGTCCCCGTCTTTGCTTTCCCTCCTCACACTGGGTGTGGCTGGCTGGTCCCGTTTCCCTTTGCCTTTCCTTTCTTGGTTTGTGTTCACGAGCAAAGTGTTTTGTTTTGTTTCAGTCTTTTGATTTTAATTGCAGTCAGATGGCAGTGCCTCTTTACGGCATGACGCTCAAATGTTCCAAGTGTGGAGTAGTTTCTTCCGCTGAAGTTTCGGCCACAGCCACCAGTAACGCCATGTTAGTTCCTCTAATTTCAACTTCTTTTCTTTCTTTCTTTCTGGCCTTCTTTTTTGATTTCCCTCTTTCATTTTTCCACCCCCCCATCCCATTTGTTTTCTCTCTCCATGCTCCCACCCGCCTTCCTGCCTCTTCCTCCCCGCCATCCCTCTGAGCCCTGAGAAGTTAGCTGTGCAGGGTTCCTGAGACAGCCCTAAAAGGGACAGACCCTGCAAGGGGCTGAGCACTCCCGCAAAACAGTTCAGAGCATGCTTAAAGTTAAACACGTGAGTAGCCCCCAGCAAAGTCAATGGGACGACTCACGTACTGGAAGTCGAGCATGTGTCTAAGGCCCGGATTGAGCTTAGCACTTGAATATCGATGCTTGATAGCAATGTACCTATTAGCTTTAATGGTCCGGGATTTAGGCCTTGCAACCCATTCTAGCACTTAAGTCTCATTGGTTGCAATGGCCATGTCTACATGAGATGCTGATTGCACAGCTGTGCGGTCATTTAGTACTTGCATACCCAAGTATTAAGTGGCTGTGCAGTAACTGGTGTCACTGTACAGTAGCATTCCCGCACGGTTTCCGAGGGACGCTAATTGCGCA